ACAGTTAAGTCACTCGTTGATTTCCGAATCAGCCAAGCAGTTTCACGAATGAGCAAAAGTGTACATCTTGTCATTCTTGTCAATGTTTGTATTGTGAAGCCACTTTGGCACTTTACCTTTGTACTAGGATCTACTTCCTTTTTAACTCCCCTAGCTAGCTGAGGGCACCAACACCGCACAATCCTAGAAAATTAGGCATTTAAGTGCAGGGGATACGGATTAATATTTGTTTCTTATTGCATAAAAAGATAAGTAGGACCATTCACTCTTTCACCCGCCAGTTAAATAATTTAGATCTAACTGCAACTGCAAGACAACAATAACGTGTCCTTTATAGAAACGACTTTTTTTCTTCGAGGACCATGAAAAAGGCTCTGTATGATTCTCTCTTGCTCATCATTCATTTCCAGATTTAACACTTAACGTCATAGGGGAGACGTTACACTCAATTGCCTTAATTTTTCTATCCGCTGTGTCAAGAAATACAAATATTTTGTAACAACTGACTTGTCCACTTCCCATTCTCATGTATAAATACAAATATTTACCTTGATTTGACAACATTATATTCGTACTCTTTCCAAACTAGGGGGCAAATACTAGCTTGTGAGCTTTTGCATTTGGTTTTGTACCTATAAGGTCAATTATTTGGTCTCGGTTTGGAAAGAGTACAAATACATATATATATATATATATATATATATATATAGAGTGCAAATTAAACCTTGTATTGTATGTATTCATACTATACATATTTGCGTTTGTACTTTTTTCAAAATGAGCCTTAGGCTGTATTTTGGTTGTAGTGCAACTTTATTTGTACTAGTATAAACGTATAGGAGTGCAAATGAAAAAAAAATGCAAATTTTGGTTTAATTTTATTTTGAATTTAACTTTATTCTACTTTGGGTCTACTTTACTTCATTTTTAATGCAACCAAACAATGTAAGGTAAAATTTGAAACAAAAATAAACAAAAACTTTCACCCAAATCATTTGCACTACCATAATTTTGCATCAGCGCAAATGAATTTGCACCGCCACCAAACACAGCCTTGTTTTCACCATTCATAACCTACTTTTGAGTATGACTTCTCTTCTTCTAAATAGGCTCCATAAACTGCAATGCTTTTTAAGTTGTTGAGGCTGTGTTTGGTTGTAATGCAAATAAATTTGCACTGATACAAAAGTGAGAAAGTGTAAATAATTCGAGTGTAAATCCAAAACAGAATTAAACAAGAATTGCATTTTCTTCATTTGCACTCCCATTCATTTATTCTAGTTCAAATAAAATTGCACTGCAACTAAATACTGCCTAAATTTTAATTTAGATCAGAGCAAATTTTTTATTGGAGATATCTTGTAATGTTTTTTTTTTTTTCTTTTTGAACTAGACAAAGTACTTTCACTAGAAACATTATGATAGAACCATATTGGTATGTATATAAGAGAAACCATATAATCGTCATGTTATGCTTACATCAGCAAACCATGTTTCTCGGTTGAAAAAACCATATAAAAAGTTGTGGTCAATAAAAGACGATTTTGTTGCTTGTGTTCATGAGCCAAATGGATATGAAGACAACCACAAACCAAACACCACCTTTATTACCCTACCAAATTCTTCTGCAATGTTTTTTCATTTCACTACATATTTGTATAGGGGTTAAAAATAAATCGGTGCATAAGCTAAATTAATTATAGCCATAATTTTAAGACTGTGTAGGAATGGCAACGGAGAGGGTGGGGCCATATCTATTATTTATCTAGTCCTCAACCCTAAAACACATATGTACATTGCCCCTTGTCCTAAAGGGGCTGCAAATCCCAGCCTCATCCCCTTTGGTCATTCCAAGCCATAGTTTCATCCTTTCATTTTAGGTTGGCTTTCTCTTATTTTTATTGATAAATTGTCATATTGAAACTTTGATCAAGTTGTTTTTTTTTTTAATTTATAAATTATTCTAAATGTCCTAATATCTTAATGCATTGTCTTAAAAGGTATGTCGGTAATTCGGTCTATCATGTAATTTTTGATATATCTATTTTCTCGATATATAATACACATATAACACCCCCGTTTCGTCCCTAGTCACTTGAATTTTGGATTTCCCCGAGACCCGACCCAACCCCACTCAACAGTTGAGAAATTCGCCCCGATGGGGGTAGGGTAGTGTGGAGCCCTAACAGGGACAAGTCAAATTGCCACCATTAGGACTAAACTTCTTGTCAAGCTTGAATTTTTCTAGCCAAAATTGATTTTTTTTTCTTTTTTTTAGGGGCTATCCAACTATAGGAAAAAAAGGTATATAAAAACCTAAAACTACATTAATTACTTTTTGAGCAGAAAAATCCAATGCTGGTGGAAAGACAAATTTGAAAGTCCATCAATCTGAACCTAGGGCTTTCTTAGGGCCATCTAACTGAAATGGAGCCTTCTAAACATCCTCCTCACTATAATCTCTTTTCAACCTTCATCTACATCTGAAATAGCAACCCTAATTAAGTTGATAAGCCTCCTTAATGCATATAAGATTTGAAATGTTAGAACAAATTTTCCAAAGAAAACTCAGACACACTTCTAGTAGTAGTCTTTTTTCCTAGGACACCTTTTATATTCATTGCATGAAAGAATATTAGAACAAATGTACACATGCTTTGTTCATGTGATTTTAATTTTTTTTATTTAATTGGTTGATTCCTTTATTCAAATGGTTCCACCATTGACCTAGCACTTGGATGAAAGCATAATTTTGTTTTCAAGTTAGTTTTAATTTTTAATCCCATTTTCATCATTTGGAAAAAAAATCTTATAGATATAGATGTGTCCAAATGTTATTTATACAAATTTCTTTTTTTTTCTTTTTTATCTTTTTAAATTTTATTATTTAATTATGATATTATAGATTAACTCATTTGAATAAAATGATTGAACTAACATGCCGCCCAAACAAAGAAACAATGTTGTTTTTAAGTCAATTTTAAAAACATAAATATTGTATTGCTGAAATTTTTGCATATAGATTTAGGGCCCGTTTGGCACGTCTTTTTGGGGAGATCTTCTGGTAGCTCTGACATGCAAAAGACGCATTGAGCTTTTGCATGAAGATCTGAGCAGCTCGAAGCACATTTGGCAGACGCATGTCTTTCTGTGCATCTTTCCTTGTCTTTCCGCGCGAGAATAAAATGCAAAAGACATAGAAAGCTTCATTTGAAGCTTCCCGAAATCAGTTCGAAATGGGCTCCTTGCGTCTTTTCGGTGCTCCGTCTTTTGGCGGCTAGATCTTCCGCGAGCCAAACGGGAATAGACCGAAAATCGGTCTTCCCAGCTTGTAAACAGCCGAAAGACCGCGTAGAAAGATGCACCAAACGGGCCCTTAATTAGTCAAATTTACTTGTGAGAAACCAAGACATACCTTGAATATAGGATTCAATAACAAAGAATGATAATTGACACCTTTAACATACGATTATCAATGGTAGTTCAAATTACATTTTTACCCTTACAATGAAAAATGAACCAAATTCAAAGTAGGGGTATTTTAGTTAAGAAAAAAAAATTCACAAATATAACCTATTCAATAATCATTAAATACAGGGTTTGATGAGAGAGGATGAGTGTTAATGCCTCAAATAGAGGAATTAATGGAATGAACATAAAAATAGCCATTCAATTTGATGAAAGAGAATGAGTGTTAATACCTTAAATATAAGAATTAGTGAAAAAGAATAGAATGAACTTAAAAATAGCCCTTAGAATAAAGAGTGATGAAATACAAAAATAAGGGTATTTTAGTTGTCCTAAAACCAACAAAAATTCCACATTTTTTAATAATGTTTTAATAATCACATCTATTCAAATCAAAAGGAGACACATATGCAAGTATGAGTGGGAATCTTGTTTTGTGAAAATAAGGAATATAACTTTCCATTGCTGACTTTGTCTTTAAATTAAACTATCAACATTTATTCAAATCAAAAGCTAGGGATCACTCATAAAGTGGGTGCAAAGGTTGTAGCATTACACGAGGTAGGGGAAGACTGAAGAGGGGTGAGGGGTAGGGAAGTTTCAATTAAATCTTTGGGCTTTTGAGGCGATGGTGTCTTTCTGTACTGGCCCGGGTAGGAGCGCCCTAGCTAGGCGGCCTTTTGGGAGGTTTTATCTTGTTGATTTTTCTTAGGGGTAGGGGGGATGTTGCTCTTCCGTGGCTCTTTGTCTTCTCATGTTAGGTCTGGTCTAGTCTTGGTTGTTATATGGTTATGGTGTTTGTTCTCTCTCTCTCTCAGTGTGTGTGTTTGTATTTGTTCTTCAGTTCTTCTCCTTTTCTTTAATACCCACTTTACCTTTCTTAAAAAGGAAAAAAGAAAAGTTACCCTCATGTGTCCATAGATTCAATAATCAATAGCTCTTAAGAAGGAACCCAGCTATTACTTATTAGGTACCCAATAAGCATCTAACTGCATGAATCTTGAATTGCATAGGAGAGAATAAAGCAAAATTATCTTTATTATTTTTTTTCCTTTTATTTTGAAAAGTAAGAAGCATAAGCAAAGAACCCATGAATGTTAAAGGGTCGGGTCCGGGTCTTAATTACATGGCGGAGCGGGTGAACCCGAACCCCCATTGACAAAACTCATTGAATCGTGGACTTCCACTGCTTGCGACAAAAGAACAAGCAGTCGATTCACTGCATCCAAACTTCTATAACCATAAATTTTCTCCGTCTCTAAGAAAATTAAACTTTCTAAAACCATGCATACCCATCAACAAAGAGAAGAATAAGATACGACTTCACATGCGCTGTTTCTTCCCTGCCCTTCGCGCGGGCCCCAGGCAATACTGTAAATCCTAGCTGCTTTTGTATAGACTGTTGTTCTACTTTTACAATCTACATACAGTTGATAGATTCGCGCCATCACTTAGTAATTAAATCGAGACAATTTTAACGAATTTAGTAAGAGTGAATCTACTTAACTTGGTTTAGAAAGACAAGATACGGCTTACCAATCAATCAACTCGATTGATTCGCTCGCTGTCACTGCATTCTTTGGTCGAGTTACCGGAGCGGAGCACATGGGTTTTACTTATTTAAAGGCACAAACTGAGCAGTCTTCAGCCACAGACACAGACCATTCAAGCTAAGTCATGGGGACTTCAACATCGCCTCTGTCCTGCTTCCCTGTCTTGCTGCTCCTCTTCCTTGCAGCAGCAATACCTTGGCCGAGACTGGCGCATGCGGCCGGTGTCGGAGGAGGCAAGTGGGACCTCCTCAAGCACAGCATTGGTATATCCGCGATGCACATGCAATTACTTCACAATGATCGAGTTGTGATATTCGATCGAACAGATTTCGGCAGGTCGATGCTGGCTTTGCCACATGGCAAGTGCCGTCACGACCCCAAGGACTTTGTTCTGCAGGTCGACTGTACCGCTCACTCCGCCGAGTATGATGTTTCCTCCAATTCAATACGGCCTCTCATGGTCCAAACCGACGTTTGGTGCTCGTCCGGCTCTGTCTCCCCCGACGGGCGCCTCATCCAGACTGGGGGATCCAACGATGGTGAACGTTCGGTTAGAATTTTCGCTCCGTGCAATGGCTGTGACTGGGAGGAGAATAGCTCCGGGCTCCTCGTTCCGCGATGGTATGCGACCAACCAGATACTACCGGATGGCCGGTCTATCATCATTGGTGGGCGTAATCAATTCAATTATGAGTTTTACCCAAAATCCTCGTCGACCGACACTCTATTCGATCTTCCGTTTCTGTCGCAAACCAATGATCCCAATGTGGAGAATAATCTCTACCCTTTTGTTCACCTCAACGTCGACGGCAACCTGTTCATTTTCGCCAACAACCGCGCAATTTTGCTCGACTATACAAGGAACGTTGTCGTTAAAAGGTTCCCGAAAATGCCCGACGGCCATGCAAGGTGCTACCCGAGCACGGGCTCTTCTGTTCTTCTCCCGCTGAAGAAGTTGAAGCGACCATCAGTCGAAGCCGAAGTTCTGATTTGCGGTGGCGCGCCAAAAGGGTCGTACTTTCAGGCCATAAGAGGGAGCTTCGTCGGAGCACTGAGCACCTGTGGGAGAATCAAAATTACCGACGAGTCGCCAGCTTGGTCCATGGAGACAATGCCGCTGGCGAGAGTGATGGGTGACATGATTTTGCTTCCAGACGGCCAAGTCCTGATGATCAATGGTGCAAAATCAGGGGTTGCTGGGTGGGAATTGGGCCGAAACCCAGAGCTTTACCCGGTTATCTATCGACCCAACAGCCCGTCTGGGTCAAGGTTCCATGTACAAAACCCGACTACAATTCCACGTATGTACCATTCCTCTGCACTTCTACTTCGTGATGGTCGAGTTCTTGTTGGAGGCAGCAATCCCCATGAGTTTTACAATTTCACCGGAGTACTTTATCCAACTGAGTTAAGCTTAGAGGCGTTCTCACCTGGTTATTTGGATCCGGGTGTCTCGCATCTACGGCCGGAGATCATCTCTCCCCCATCTCAAACTAAGCTAAAATATGGGCAGTCAATAACAGTTCGGTTCTCGCTCTCTGGCGAACTAAGCAGCAAAGGGGTGTCGGTAACAATGGTGGCTCCTTCGTTCACAACACATTCATTCGCCATGAATCAAAGGCTACTGGAACTGGACGGCCGACAGGTGAAGCCGGTGTCGAAGTCGGTGTACGACGTTCAGGTGACAATTCCTGAATCAGGTTTCCTTGCGCCGTCTGGGTATTATCTTCTGTTTGTCGTTCACACAGAAGTTCCTAGTGAGGGCATTTGGGTTCATATTAAGTGAGCTCCAATATAGCTAGATTAGTTTTATTGATCAAGTAAGTTGTTTGATTTCTAAATTAAATTTGATTGGTTGTCTGATATCGTAATAAGATTCAGTTGAAATCGAAGGTTGTCCTTCGTTTAATTACTCATTTTTCTTTTCTGTGTTTCGAAGAATCTATCTTCAGTTCTTAGTGGGTCTGTATAATGTGATTATTAGGAGTTGGGAAAGTCATTACCAGACAGATCATCTGACAAAGACAAACTTTATTATGGTTCCGTCCATTATTTGTAGTTAATGATGCCCATTGAACAGAAATTGTGTAGGTGACAAATTTTACTGCTTGTCTCTAGTTATCTTTGTATTCAACGTTAAGCACAGTGAACTACTGAACCGTACTCTGGCATTTCTCATTGTACACCGGAACTGGTTCGAACTTGAGCGGTCCTTTGAATTCACAGAAGAAAATTGGGGTGGGTGGAAACTTCGTACTGGTCCTACCATTTTTATTTCTTCCTTATGATCTCTTGTTGCAACTGGCAAATTGTGACCCCTAATTAAAGCAGCACGAGAGAGAGAGACAGAGATATGCTGAGGAAAATCAAAAGATTTTAGCAAGTAGTAATATCGGTTATTGGGCCAAGTGGGGCCGACACACACACCAAAAAAAAGTTAGTTTCCATTATGAACTATTAATGATTTTCACAATTTCACATCTACCTCGCACGAGGATCAAACTTTATTTTAGATGGAAAATTTCACATGTCTGAATATATTGTATAAGCTATTCCAATTTCCAACCCAGGAAATTTGATCTTTGGCCGACAAAAACAAAGTTTCCAACCCAGGAAACACAAAATACCGGCTGTTTGTGATGCTTGAATTACTCGATGCAAATGTAGCCTTTTTGTTTTGGTTTAAAATAAAACCACCTTACATTAATTCTTTAGCAGATTATATACATGAAAGCCGTTGAGGGCTAATTTATATAATAAATAGTCTATTCCCCTTATACATGCTTTTATTAGCTAGTGAATGAGCTAAACCATTGTAATCCATACTTACTTGAAGTTCCAGTACCGTTTTTCTGTATAACTTTTGTTTCCGATCATGAGTATCATAACGTGTAGTCACAATATATACTATTGCGTGTGCATCACAAAATATTGATAGCTTTTTAATATTTATCTTCTTAGCTCTTCCTGAAGACCTAGTATGAGTGAATATTGCCATTAATTATTAATTCTTCTTCTTGAGCCGAGACTCTAAGTCCTGCTGCTGCTACAACTCTACATGAGTTCTGCATTAATACTCGGATTGAAGCTAAGAATGTATGAAGTGCCCATCCATGAATAGATTATGTGAATGAAGCCTGTTGTCTTGATGAAGAGTCACCACCCCTTGTGTTGAAGGCATGTCCATACTACTCTTGCAAGCGGACAATTAAAGAAGAGATGAAATGCAATGCTATCTCCCTTTTCTGTATCACAAAGTGAGCACCATTTGTGCACTTAGAATCACCTTCTGTAGGTCTCGACTTCATGTACCATTCTTTATGGCCGGACAACTAGGGATGATAAATTCTGCCCTACACCACAGGTACCCACCTCAATGGTTGGGTTTTTTTCTAAACCAAATTTTGGGGTGTATACTGGTTTCGATATTTTACAATCCATATGGGTACCGTATTAGGTTAAACCCATCCCTTTTGGACCCACATATTGTTGGAAAGCTTGTGCACTTATGTATTAGATGTTGAATTTAATAATATTTTAAATTTTATAAGAGGATAATTGATTGTTTATGTTCTGCATGTTTTAACCAAATAAAAATTTTGATATTTGTTCATGTTATTTTACTTGTTTGTTGTTTATATAAAATATGATATAATAGAATATTAGATGCAGGTTCTAGGTCCATTCCACCAACCCAACTAACCCCACCCTCAAAATGTGAGAAGGGTAGTGTTATGCAGGGTTTTGAATTTTCATGTGTGGGGAGGGTATGGATTTTGAAAATTCAACCCACTATGGATTTTGGGAAAATACTAGTTGGGAGGTCTAGGGATGTGGATAAGGTCTAGTATTTACATAAAACCCTCCCCAAACCTGCCCCTTTGTCATCCCTTCTGACAAACCGTCAATAAGATTATGCTTGATTTGAAGGAAAAGGTAAGGAAAGGAAACCAAACACAGCCCAAGTGTAAAGGCCGTGTCAAGAGAAACTAAATGAGGAAATGGGAGAGGAGCACTAAGCTTTTATTATTATTAATAATTTTTGGGTGAAAAAGAAAGGAACCATGCAAGACTAAGGAAGGAGGTTGGGGTTAGTTCTACCCCAGAAATTAGAAAAAAAAATTATATAATAAGCTTTAAATTTCTACAAGCAAGAAACTCAATTCACGCAAATCCACCAAAGTACCAAGGTGACCTAAATTGGCAATCCAGTATGCTGCCTTGTTGGCCTCTATGTTAATGTGCTTCTAACAGGTATCAATATATCTGTCTTCTTCTACGATCTTGTAACAATCTCCAATCAAAGTACAAGGGGATATGGCAATTCCTACGCAAGTCATCTGGTGTGGACTTGACTTTTATTATTGTCACCACCACCACCACTACCACCACTAGCATCTGAAAATAACACTTTTCTAAGGGACAAGTAAAAAGCTTCACCCTCCAACTTTGTGGGACCCGGTGGGATCCACCATCATAACGGGAATACATGTCAATACAAGTAGGTTATGTGCATGATGGTCACAATTCATTCTATATCTAGGGATGGCAATTTCTACCCTACACAGTGGATTCCTATCCCTACCCTCCCTAACAGGGCAGTTTTTTTTTTTTTTTGAAGCAGGACGGGTTTTAGGGCAGGAAAGGTATTGGGATTTAACAACCCATATTGGATATAGGTAAGATATGGTATTAAGCTAATTTTGATCCTCCCTAACCCGTATATTGTTGAAAAGCATATAAATTTTATGTAATTGGTGTTGAATTTAATAATATTTTGAATTTTATGTGTAGGATAATTGATAGTTTATGTATTTTCTGCATGTCTTACTACAATGGCACAATTATGGTGGACCATCCTTCTGCCTACCTTACTAAACATTAAAAGCCTTTTTTTATTGGAATTTACCCTAAGAAAGTATATTAGATTGACGGGTAGGACCATAAATATCTTACTTATTATGGTCTGTATGCAAGATTGTCTATGCTCTCTGGCTTTGAAATTAGAATCCGAAGACTGCTTTTAATTTCAATCTCAATCAGCCTTTCACAGTTTCTTATCCTGTATTTGTTATAACTATTTCCATAATACTTTTGGATGGTAAGACTTCAATAAGAAATTTCCAATAAAGTAATAACTTGGGTAAAATTTTGTTTCATGTGCACAAAGGAGTTGCAGTTTCTATGGTAGATTGTATTTCTCAGTCTCACTGGCAGCCATGGTAGATTGATTCTATATATTGCTATGCTTCAGTAATAGATCTCTGGTTTTGTGGATTGAGGCAGTTGCAGTTGCTAAAAATGCAGCAAAGGGCATTGCAGATGTGCAAAAAAGTTATCCTGACTCTGGATCTTCCAAGGAACAAGAAGAATTAGAGGAATCAACAAATAAAGGGGAACAGGAGGAAGAGACTGACAAAATTTACCCTAAGAGAGTATATTAAATTGAAGGGTAGGACCATAAATATGCAAGATTGTCTATGCTCTCTAGCTTTGGAATTAGAATCCGAAGACTGCTTTTAATGTTTAGTAAGGTAGGCAGAAGGATGGTCCACCATATAAACTAATGTAGGAAATGTGGAAACTCACTTGCAGTTGTTTACTCCCTTAAATTTATTACTGGAGTTCATTGCCGATAGGACGGAGAGAATTTGTTATTTCAATGTTGATATACATACATACATATAAGTAAAAAATTACGGAACTATTCTGACAATAAAAAATTACAAGTTAAAAATTACAGAATCATTCTGGCCACTGGTTTTCGAGTCGACAATTCGATCGTCCAATTCGAACGGGCAACTCATTCTAACAACAAAAATTACAAGCAAAAAATAGAGTATGTGATGTTCATTAAGTAGTATCATACGTGTTATGTCATTCAAGCGTGTGACTCATACGACTCGAAAATGGAATCATTCTAGCTACTGGTTTTCGGGTTAACAGTTCGACCGTCCATTTCAAATGGACAGCCCGTTCTAACAACAAAAATAAAAAAATAAAAAAATGGCCAAAAACCATTAAACGGGTCAACGGGTTAACAATTCGACCACCAAGTCAATGGGTCGTTGAGCGATTCAACGGTTTTAGGCCAAGGATGGGGATTGAGGTAAAATGGAACCGGTTGCCTAGACGGTTCCCAATTAAAAAAATAAAAAAATGGATGACCCGTTCTGACAAAAAAAAAGTACAGGCAAAAAATTGAGTGTGTGAGGTCCATTAAGCAATACCATACATGCTATGTCATTTGAGCGTGTGACTCATATGACCTAAAAATGGAACCGTTCTGGACACCAGTTTTCAGGTTGATGGTTTGACTGTTTGGTTCGAACGAATGGCTCGTTTTGACAACAAAAATTAAAAAAAAATGACCAAAAATCATTGAACGGGTCAACAGAATGGGTTGTTGAACGATTCAACGATTTTTTACCATGGACTGAGATTAGGATAAAACGGAACCGGTTGTTTCGATGGTTCCTGATGTAACCGTTTCTGGTCACGTACCAATTTTTTTTGTGATGTACCAATTATTGGCTAAGTACTTCGTCATTCGACCTATTCCCAGGTAGCCTGTGACTCAGAGGATGATAGAGCTCCCTCGTGGTGAACTGCCTGGTGGTGAGTTACTTGGTGGCGAACTCCCTGGTGGTGAGCTACTTGGTGACGAGCTCCCTAGTGGTGAGCTACCAGGTGACGAGCTCCCTAGTGGTGAGCTACTTTGTGACGAGCTTCCTAGTGGTGAGCTACTTGGAGACGAGCTCCATGGTGGTGAGCTACTTGATGATGAGCTCCCTGGTGGTGAGCTACTTTGATGAGCTACTGGGTGCACTACCTTGGTGGCGAGCCTCCTAATATAGCGCAACCCGACTTCCCTCTGCATGAGATGATCTGCTCCTCTTTGCGGACAACAGGAGCTGAAGGTCCCATCCTCCCTGCGAGAGATGATCTGCTCTTCTTTGTGGGCGGCGGGAACTGAGAGACCTACGAGAACTGAATCAGAGGACCCGGGGGTGTTTACCTGGCGAGGCCACTCCGATGGCTAAGTTAGCACTCTGATAGTAGAGAGCTTGAAGATGATATTAGAGAAAATGAGAGAGCTAGAGAGCAGGGGCTACCTCCATTTTTTTTTATCCT